GGGGGGGGGGGGGGGGGGCAAGGATGGCTCAACTATAGCAACTCAACAAGTCATTTAAGTCTAAATTTGTCAGGGAGGGATATAAAAAAGAGTAGCCTAATTCCGTTTTTCTTGCCAATCTTCCTTAACCAATCAGTTCATTCATACACTCATTCATTCTATTTTTTAGGTATATGTTAGGACTAGCAGCAATCCCATCATTAATTCAAATCATAGGGTTTATTTTACTGCCGGAAAGTCCAAGATGGCTGCTGGACAAAAATAAGGAATCAGAGGCGAGGGAAGTCTTGACGGCCATTCGAGGCACGACAGATATCGAGGCTGAATTATTTGAAATAAAACGAGTTTGTGAGATTGAAAAACAGGCTAAAATAGACAGTGGTAAGATTTTTTAGAAAACATCATTTATTAAATGATTTCGATTTTAAAATTTGTTGAGCATGTAGATGAGGTTTATGAAATCGAAAAATGACTAGAAAGTTGTAACCAGGAGTTAGAGGCTTTCTGGCTAACTTGAGGGCAAACTCAATCCTGACACAGGTTGAGATAATACCTAAAGGTTTTTCAACTCAGTTTCCCTCTATCAGTGAAGTAGGTCGGAGGCGCTGGCTTGGAAAAAGTGATAAGATGTTCATATGGGGCAATAAACCAAGACTTATTTACATTACAGCTGGAAATCTTTCTTGTTTAATTTATGGAATAAGTTCCATAACACTGTGTTACAGGCAGGTGACAACAAGTTTTCAGCTGGTAAAGTCAATAATCCCTTTATAAGCTTTAACAGTGACCCCTACATTTTGTATTGAGGGTGTGCCTACAAACCATCATGTATGCTGCCGCTCTCGAATATTCAAATTTATTATTGTCAAAGGTTAACAATCTATATCAATACATTGTATTTCTAGGTAATGGTTTTACTGTAGTCAGAATGTTACGAAGTCCAGCGATGAGACGAGCGTTATTAGTAGGGTGTGGTCTACAATTATTTCAACAACTTAGTGGCATCAATACCGTCATGTACGGTAATATTTATCTTAGACCAATTTAAAGAGATCGTAAACAGCCACTTCGTTAGGGTGGGGTCCGTGGGGGCTG